GGGCGAGACAAGAAAGAGAGAGTTGAGTGTACAATAAAATACAAATAAACGAATAAATAAATAAAGGACGGAAAGAAGTCCGAGAACTACATTTTTCAGATTATTGTATATATATTAAACCAATTGTTCAATTATTGAGATGGCGTGGATGTAAATAATTCAGCTTGTAAGTATGTGTCTTTAGTTAAGCTTATAAGGTTTGAAGGTCGTCCAAAGTTCCCAATACTTATTTACCATGCTTGCATCTGACTAATGAACTATTTTTCCATTCAATTAATTTCATAATTATTTTAAATGAAAGAAACAAGTTTATATAATAAAAACCAATAATTTGAATTTCGACTTGTGCAAGCGGCATTTAAATATGTGGCTAAGCACACTGGTTTCGTTCGAAAATTTACTGTTGCATCCACATAAGTTGGCATTGCTTTTATATTCTAAGCATTCATTATAACTCCAGCATAAACATTCTTCTCATTTTACCAGCTAAGCATTTACTCACATTTCAACATTTACGTTCTCCAATCAAGACAATTTTAATCTTGTCTTCTTAAAACACAGCTAGATACTCCGCGAGTTTGCGCTTCCCGCGAATGGTTAAGATTTAAGATATCAAATAGAAAGCAGTGATATATTAGAAATGTGCTTTTCATTTTGTTGAAGACTACAGTCCAATGCACAGTAGCCGTTTTGCGTGTAAAACCCGTAGATTTCTGGCGAGATTTATTTTTCTTATAAAAGGGAAGGATTTTCATGAAAAGCAAATAAGAAAATTACCTTCGGCCGCGACTGAAACTTTTATACTCACCGCGATATTTAATTTAGAACTAACACATTGCTTGTCGCCGTCTCCTCTCCAAGGTCATTGATTGTTTGCTTGGACCGATTTCTCCCATTTCCCCATTACAACTGTTTCATAATTAATTGCTTGAAATTTTGTAATTAGTAAAATGAAAATTATAATCTTGGGCCGAAGAAAGTTTTAAGGTCCGTACTGTTTTGAGGAGTAGCTGGGAAGAACAAAATACGTTTTGAGTTTGGTATTCTGGTATGGTTGGCGTGAGAGTTCTTTTGTATTTTACAACCTGCAGGCAATTTTATTTGTCACATGGTAGCAAACAGGGAGATTATGTCCCTCCCAGTGGAATATAAAAAAAGACTGCTTTCAATAGTGCAGTGCAGAGTGCATGAAGTGCAGTGGATAAATTCCGTTTATGGCATGAGTTCAGAAAAGGAAGCACGGCAAAGGTTGGTTGTAGAAGCTTGTGTGACACGTTGGGAAGTGGCGTTCGAAACTTTCGAACCTGGCAGAAACGGTTTGGAAAATTTCGCCACGGAGATCTCAATCACGTCAAACATTTTGAAATTCAATTAATTTGTTTAAAATATGACATAACTTTCCCGCTTAACTGATAAATAAAATTTGTCTTTACACACCTTTGGTAACTATCTAGACTATATTTAAAATCGGTTTCGCTGTACATCGTGAGTTAGCGATATATAACGATACACCGATATCGGCTTCTTTTTAAATTCGCTTTTAATCTTTCCCTTTGTCCCCGAAGATGTGTATAGCGTGAGTTCTCTGCCAGATATATATGTACATTGTAAACAAAAGGGGACAATACACTTCTCGTTTGTCGGTGAACAAAACAGTTTACATCGCAAAGTAGATAAAATAATGATTATCATCCGCGAGTTTAGCGACTGTTGGCCCATTCTCTTCTTTTGTTAGAAAAAGAGATGGAGATTGTGTTCAGGGACATGTGATAGCAAAATCACTTTATAACAATTATTTTAATATTTAAGTCACCATAAATAGGAATAAAAAAAGTAGGCAGGTATTTTCTTCTTGCGAAATTTTTTGTTTTTCGTAATTCCATTACTTCATCGGAATTAAGTAATAAAACAATGATTGAGTAGAACGTAACTGATAAATGTGGAGTTTCACGATATTGTGATAATGTTAAGCATAAAATGCGTTGGTTAGAAGAAACTACTACTATTATTGGCCGAGGATCTCGGTTGACATTTCCATCGTCGTGAATTTAACTCTCCGGTGCATTAGAATTTACAACAACGCCGATAGCTTTAGACGCTAGTGAATTAAGATTTCAGCCTGAGAATTTGTTTCTCTGACTAAAAAATTTACAATAATTTATGAATAATAATAACATAGTAGTAGAAAATAAAAAACCTTTAATACTTTATTTTGATCAACAAGTAGTCAGATTTTTTTCATTTAAATTGCGCGACCTAATCCAAACAAGTTGTTTTTTTCTCTTAGCTTGGCAACAAGGTCCCTCTTACCCGCTACGTTCCCGGACAACTGTATACGCCTGACACCAACAATGAATGCTGAGGCCAATTATGCTAATGTTGTAATAATTATTTACGCGTCAAAATCATTTGAGCAAACTATCTTTCACGTGTTTGACGTATATGTAAGAACGAACATTTGAATATGTGTGCATTTTATTGTGGTCCGATGAACAAAATATCCCGGAATTTCAATCAACGTTTAATTTATATAACAATTTGGTTACAGTTACTCTTAGACCCCGCATCGCTGTGACTTTGCCGTCCTTAGTCATTTTTATTTTCTATTTTTTCTATAATCTTATCAACATTCAGTCTTTCACACGTACATCTTTTACTTTTTTCAGGTTTTTACGACGATGCGTTCTAAAAGTTTTACATCATTTATATAGCGAAGCGATCGTCCACACCTAGCAAAAGTATTAAAAACTAACTATTTAAGAAAACCTTTCTCTATTCTGTATGATCCACTTTATCCATTATATATGATACACTTTACGGATGTTAATCGGTTTTGTAGGGCATGTTATCAGAAAATTTTCTTAGAAAATGATCTGCTTATTTCAACTTTGATCGCAGAGGAGGGAAAACATAAACGAAACTTCTGCCCCATGTTGCCAACCAACTATACGGTATGCTTTCATTCCTGCTTCTTATCACAGCATTATCATATGTAAATATTCATATGAAATCTTATATGTATGCTTGAACCCAAAGTGAACTAATGAATTAGAGTCCGACGTATGCAAGAAGTTTAGTTATATCCAGCCAAGTGCAACTCTTCATGTAGTGCACACCTATACCGCAGTTAACGGTGTTATTTGCGATGGTTAATAACACGCGACTGTTCACTTTCCTGCGGAATGAGCGGAAACGCTCCTCATATAAATAACATCAAATTTTGTTCGAAAAGTAGAAGTTTGGCTTTCGTTAAGGTTCAAAAAGGATTTTAGAGCCAATGTACAAACCAGAACAAGTTTTTTTGTTTGGTATAAGACGTTCGAAAAAGCATTGAATGCCGTCGGTCTTATTATGTTCTGTTATGGAGGTTAAGAAATTCGTGTTCGTTGGTGTATCTTTTATTCACTATTAGAGGTCGCGTTGACATCTTAAAAATATCAGTTCGATCAATACGACCCATTTTGAAACGGCAGCTTCATTTTAAACGCGTTTTGCGAGGACGCACCTTATCATCAGATGTTTGCAATCTCGACAAGCTAGCTCAACAATCATGTCTTATAACTACTAAAGATATTGGCATTAAGTGTGGCGCCTGCAAATCTAAGAAAACTGAGTTGTTTGAATAAACACACGCAATCCACTTAGAGAGTAGGAGCAATCTATGCAGATTGCAAATTAACAATCTTATTTTATGAAACTTTGACAGATTTGTAGAAATCTTACATAAGTGAGGATTTCCCACATACTTTAGATATCATTAAAGCGTTTTTATTGCAGTTTATTTAAGATTTTCCTAATTTTTGTTTTTCCAACTTATTCATTGTTAACGTGAATAGCAGAATAGTGTTCTGTAGGGTACCGTTCAGGGATCGCAATAGCGTAAAATTAACATGTTTTGATTTCTTTAACAGTATTATTCTTTACGGTTTACTGATAAGCGTACTCTACGTTCTTTGAAAAAAAACGCACACTTATTCACCAAAGCACTACTACGGATATTAAACAACGGAAACCCATTCGTACATTTCAAATTGAGAGAGAGAAAGAGGGTGAGGGAGAGATAGATTATAAATTACAATAATTCAACCATATCAATAAATACAAAGAAGAAAAATTAATAAACGTATACGCCATGAGCTCATTTTAGCATATGAATAAAAACTGGTACAAATCCGCACACATATGTACATATATGGTTCAAGGAGAAGGCTACAGCTAGAGAATAAAACTTATGCATTAAGCAGAAATACGCACATACACGGTCGGTTCGATAGTGAACGCATGAGTAGGAAAGCGTGTAACAGGATATGGAAACTTTCAACACAATGCTTGCTTGCTTTTTATGCAAGCAATAAAATACCAAAAAATAAATAAATAAATAAAGTACTGCCTACTTTTAAGCGCAAAATATTTCATTGCCTACTTTTCGAAGCTAATTGTTCTACGCTTGCAGGCACAAAAGTTATTAAAGTTGTTAGATGCTAATGAATTACAGATAATAAATATGTAACACACATATTGGTTATGGAAATTTTTCTTAGGCCAGTTTTTATATTAATGATAAGTTCTTTTGATAAATGAAACTACATTTTCTCAGTTATTTTACAAATTTTAATAGTAAAAAGAATTTTTTTTATGTCGAAAGGTAACTAGAATATTGTTGTTTCAACATTTTTTTTCTTTGAATTTTTTTTCATTGTGTGCTTTATGGAGCACGCATATGTGTGGTATATTGAAGTAAAGATACCCTTGAGTAGTGCTGTATGTACAATGCGGTACGTCTTAATGGACATAAATTATGAAATAATGCTTTTTGCGAAAAAGCTTTTTTTCGCTGCGTTATAAACTACAGTTTATTGCTTGAAGAAATTATGAACTGAAGGTCAAAGCATAAAGAAAAATATAAATGTGAATAACGTCCTCTTGGCCACTTTGTAATTCAATAAATCGTTAACTAAAAGAATAAAAACAAAAATTGCATTATCAAGATACTTCGATTGTTTTTTTTTTTTTAATAATCCTTAAAGCTAAAAATATATTTTAATATTAAATTATTCTTCAACTCCTTCCAAAAGAGTTTTAAAGGAAAACGGTTGAAAAGCATAACCCAAACCTTCATAAAATTTGCTCATAAATTCAACCCTGAAAAGATAAATCACAGAATTATGTTAAATCATTTTGTAACAGAAAAGCGAAAGAACAACAAGAGCTACGTACCAATGCAATCGTAAAGTATGCAGGAAAGCAGATAGACCTTCAATTAAGACTAAAATGCCTATTGTCAAAAGGGACCAGAATATGAATATCACAAACAGGAAAATCGCACCGAAATAGCTTTGTATAGAAAAAGACATGGCAAATACCATTCCCCACAAAACTTCGGACAATTCTAGAGAAAAAAAAACAAAAATTTATGTTCGATTTAAATCATATCTTAAGTCTGCGCTGAGTAGATAAGAGTCGCGACTAACAAGTCAGTGTTCGCGGGCTTTTTTCCCAGTGCGGTAGCGTATGCTCAGTCGGTAAGCATATAACTTAGCGACACATACGCCCGTTAGTCCCGAGCCACTCCCTATGTTTTTCTGATTTTCGTCACAGCTTTATCAATGCCATCGTATTCCATCTATAACAGATATCCTCTATTGTGATCGAGGGAAGCCGAAAAAAAAACTGCAAAGAATTTTTTTATTTTAGTCTTTTTCCCTTCGCCAATCAAAACGACTGCTACTCTGGACTTCAGTACGAAAACTAGATTACAGGATTTCCTGCTGTGCTATATGGATGATAGTCAATTTTTAAGTTAACTTGCAGTTATCAGTGGCCAATTGCCAGTCGTTCATAAGCCAAGTGTCAGTTGCCTAATTCTAATTCAGTCAGAGGAGGATTCTGACAAAAAGCGATGAAGAGACGAACAATTGGACTTAAGCGAATGGTCGAAGAATACTGTGAAAAAGTATATCTGGTAACTTGTCTATTATCGTCAACTTCTGATAACATGAAAAAATATATATTTAAATACTTTTAAATTAAGAAACAAACTTACGTGCGTGAGCTAAAGACAAAGCCCATAAGCGAAGATAGGAAGCTGTATGAGAGATGGTACTTAACACATATTCGATAGTGTGTATAGCTTGTTGTATAAAAATTTCGCTCATAGGCTCATCGTCGTTGTCGTGACCTGCATGACCGCGCCCATCGGATTTCTGGATTTTATGAGAATTTGGGTTCTGTTCAACATCAACGTTTTCTTCATATAGAGGACGAACTTTTTTCTTTTTACAGCACATAAGATACAGAGGTTTGCCCAGTAACATCCAGGGAATGCAGGCTAACGCTATAATTACAAATATTCTCTGCACTAATTCTTGCTGTTCAAATAAATATTCTTCACAGCCCTCTAAAGGTTCTTGATGTTTAAACAACATCATATTAATGAAAAGTATTAGAATGGAGGGTGCACAGCCTGGCGTATTGGCTAACTCCTCCGATTGAGCTGAATACTTGACCCATTTAAAAAACATCATAAATACCATGTAGCCAAACAGTAAAACCAAGAAAATTATTTGCGGCAAAAAGTCCATAATAATGTTAATGCTTCTTTTGAAATAACAATGATTCACCAAGGACATGCAAACGCCGAAAATCATATGTAAGACCCCAAAAATGATCGAAAGCTTCATTTTATAAGTGTTCAAGAAGATTATCTTATTATCAGCCAATTGCCAAATGGGATCCAAGCCCATTGCGTATACACCCGATACGTGTTGTCCGGGATCCATTTGAAGATAACTATTATTAAGTATGGTTGAATGATTCCAATCCACAAACCAGGCAGAACCAAATACATTCATACTCTTTGAAAATATATCATTATAAATGAAGCCAGTGTATAAAGAGAACAAAGCCATTAGTAATATAATGTAACGTCCGCTAAAGAAAATATTAAAAATCTCTCCTTTGATTTTACGCAATTGTCTTTCGCGCAAAACCATTAACAAAGCAAATGACAGCAAAACCAGACCATGACCTAAATCGCCAAACATAACAGCAAATAAAAATGGGAAAGTGATGCAAGTGTACAATGCGGGATTTATTTCACGGTACGTAGCCATGCCGTAGGAATCAATTAGGTTTTGAAAGCCGCGGGTAAATTTGTTTGTCCTTGTGAAAGTGGGGGGCTGCTCGTCAGGAGCTATTACATTCAAAAATGACGGCACATTACTTTCCGCTCTTTTAGAGCCCTCAATTAAGGCGTTCTGAACAATCGTCAAATCTTTCGAAGGTACCCAACCCTCGCCGATTAAGCACTTATTTGTAACGTCCAAGTTGAACATGTTCAGAGTATGGTAGATTGCTTTCATTTTTTTAATCATAATCGACCAAGTGGCTAAGCTACGGGAAGCAGCAACCAGTACACGATTACGATGATCGGCCGTAGTATTCAAAACCATACGCAGGTCCTGCAACCGCAAGCGTATATCGTTAAGCATTTGTTCGCGCTCCTGCTGAGAATTAGGGCAGGGATATATAGCTGCATGGAAGCCAGCGCACACTTTTTTAACACGTTGTTTTAATTGTTCTCCTTGGAAAAAGGCTACGAATACCGACTTGGAAATGCAGTGACCTGTCTCCGGATCTTTAACAGGTTCGTTAATTTCGCTACGTCTGAGAAATATATTTCCGCGCGAGATGCGCCATAGCATGCGTTCAAAGGCAAAAAATTTTTCTAATTTTATAACACCGGCTACAAAACTTAATTGGCCCGATTGCTGCTGATGATCCATTTGATTTTTGGAATCCAAATTAATGTTTTGCGAACTGCTAAAGAAGGTTTGAGTCTTCTCTAAAACTTGCTTTAGTTCGGTCATTTCCAAAAAATTACTATTCAGATTTATGGCATTTTGACTGAGCTCACGCAATTCCGTTTCGATCGATTCGAGTTTTGCTTCTAAATCGACAATTTCGCGTGGATTTGGAGCGAAAGGTTCCATATCTTCATCCAAAATGGGAAAAGTAATATTATCTTTTTTTAATTCAAACTCAATATAACGTATTCGACGTTCCAACTCGTCGCACCGTCTTACTTCAGTGACAAATTTACGTTGAAAAGCGTTGACTTCCGTGTTAAGCTGCAAGCAAAGCTAAGGTTAAATATTTGTTTTCGCAAGTTTTAAGAATACTTATTACGTACATCACGGAATTGAACACAGCCACGTTCTCCTAACTCAGAAACTGAAGTATAAGCTGCCTCCGGTTGTATAAACATTTGGCATAAAGCCATCTCTTCACTGCGAAACATATCGCCCATAGCGCCCAGTACAATTTAATCCTTGACAAAACAGAAGAAAATTTTTAAAATAGCCTCCGAATCTTTAGTATATATCATAGTAGAGTTATGTGCCTGTGGGGATAGAATGATAATCACATTTTTGCAAATAAACAGAAAACAATCCCTACACATTTTTGGTTTCTTTTTTTTTAGTCGATAGCATGCATTTAATACCCATGGAACTATAATAAATCGTTATACCGTGAACGGCTTTTATCTTATCAGTGGTTATCTAACAGGCTACTAATGTAATTTTATTGCTTTATAATAAGCGATAATAGTTTATTGTATACATGGATGGGAGTGCGTTAATATAAACGGCAATTTTAGCACGTCTGCAACTTAAAAGATAAAATCGCTCACCCAGAAGTTGCTAATTATGGTGATTAATGAAAATTAATGTTTCTAACGGCTTGGAAAGCTATTTATTCTATACGACACCAAAAGCGCTGAAGCGCCAAACAGCAAGCAAGAATGGAAGAATTTGGAAACTTGTCGCTAAAAATTTATTAAATGAGAAGGGCATAGCTATTTAATAATATCCCATAAGCTTTTCGATTTGTATTTTAAATCGAAAGCGATATATAAATGTATATATATAAATGTATATATATGTATATATATATGTATATATATATAAACAAGTTGGATAAGTGATTTGTAAATTTATAAGTGTTATGCTCTACATTAGGCCGACGAATCATGTTATATATATTCAACCTCGTATAAGTCCCAATTTACATTCTTGTATGTTCTTTATACGTATTCATGCCATTCTGTAAACATTGTGACCAAAGTGAGAGTTAACCCTTTTTTTAACGTAGCGAATCACCTGATGTTAACTCGTTGAATATTGAAGGGAAAAAGAAAAGTTAAGTAAGCAATGGAAAACGCATGCGTTTCATTAGGAGATTAGAGCCGATCGTCTTACTTGCTGGTGCTCATCCTACTTTTCTAGTACTGGAATTCATTTCCGCCAATAAAATAAATTACAACAAATTAATACTTCAACTTATAGACAATGCTTAAGGCTTAACAGATTGTAGTTCATCGCCTTTGATTCCGGTTGATAAGCTGATGCGGTTTGAAAGATGAAATACAAACCTAACGTCTTGGATAATAATATTAGCAGGTTTTAGAAATATCGCCTCTCGCTTACAGATAGTTTTAAAAAATATGTTATTTTTATTATTATCAGTAATTTAGCCGGAGAAATAAATTTAAAGACTAAACCCTTAAAGTACTAGCATTTGAGGCTATCAACTTCATTGCAAACTTTACCCCACTCCTGATTTCAGCTCACAACCTTTGAGTTGTTAGTCGTGATCCGTAGACTACTCGGGCCCTCGAACGCATTAAAAAAAAAAAAGGGTGAAAATCTTCCAACGCATACGATCTCTTTCTTGAAATGCTCATAACTAACAAAGAAAATTGTACGATTATTGAAAGGGTTGCATTCGCAGTTAAATGTAAACGAGCACAACATTTATAACATAATGTGGATGGAAGAAAAAGTTCGTTTTTGCTTATCATAATTCTTCTAATGATCACGCATATCAAAATAACGTCGGTGCTTCTAATTTGCGCTTCCAAGTTCATTTCTATCATTTTATTACTTTAATAAAGATTCACTCCTCCGATGAATTATTTACATTGGGATTTTCCAAATATACTAAAATTTTCACAATAACCTTATCTCTGACCCCAATCCTGTTTGCTGCTGCATTCTTTTGCGATTTGCAAACATATAGCAGCCGTTGGAGATCAAATCTGACAAATGCGTTGGGGTTGGTAGCAACATCATCTTCTATTCATATATTATAACTACGGTACCCATCGATTTGCAACGCAGTGCTGCAGTCTAAGGCAGTGAAAGCAAATCCTTTTAATATTTTTAGAAAATCAGCAAACTCTTGCAAGTTCCTTTGTCAATTGCCAAAAATAATTTTCGGATTTTTCGATGTTTTCTGATGTAACCATCACTTTCGGGCGTTCACTGTCATTATCAGTCCCCAACTGACCCCGATTAAAACCAGCAAAGCACTGAATAATTGTTGTTTTCGGCGAGGAAATGTTGTCAGAAAACTTTTCAAGTCCACTTTGACTTGAAACATTATCTTTTCCATAAAACAACGTTAAAAGAATGCGTAATAAAAATAGCGTCACTTAAAATGCTGTAAATAATAAAGACATCCATACAAATGACGTGAGATTTTCTCCTGCATTTTCTAAAAATAATCTGACATCTGTGTATCACTTCCGGCGCTTATTAACCGATGTTTTACATAAGTATATATTGACAAGATTTTCACAAGATATGTAAACTTTTTGATTAGCGCAGAAATTCTAAATCGATACACTACTGCTTGCTGACTGCACTTGCAACTGCCTAAATTGCATATGTAAAAAAAAAAAAAAAACTAAAATTTTACTTGTACGCACACTTTCTACTAATTTCCATTTGTAACAATAGATGAGCATGAGTGCCGGAAAATATATATGAGATATTTTTGTTAAAAATTTTTTTGTTTATTCTGTACCGTTGTTATTAGAAAAGAAAAACACACAATTTTTAAAGTTTGTATTTGGTATAAACGTTTTCAGAGCGCAATTAAGAGTTTCGCACCATGGTCGGTAAACATTTGACCGCTTGGTACAATTCGCCATTAATAGAAATGCCAATTATTGTCAAGTTAATTTATTAATCTTTGGCAATAAATGAAGAAAAAGTGGTCGCGGCGATAATAATTGTTATTTTATCAAAAAGTAAAGAACAATAAACGAACAGAATGTGTATACAGACAATTCATCGACTTAATAAACGTAAGTGTATCAGTATTAACTGTGTGTGGTATAGTGTGGTGTGCTGATATAAGTACATATTCGCTTATCGAGGCAATAGAGAATGCAATATTAATCGATTTATGGCTACGAATACACGTCTTCTACGCTTGACTTGTGGTTAAAGTATGCGTAAGTATTCGCGGGTGTCATGTGGTTTTGATACGTGTAAACAGTTTGGGGTAGACAATGTCAAATTAAAATTGTCACTTAATGATATTATTAATTATCTGAAATAATGACTTATTAATTATACACTTTATTGAAATTCCGTGTAAGTAATTTTGGTTCTCTTTTCTAAATTTTTAAGGGAATTCTAATTTGCTATATGCTTAGACTTTGGCAATTAAAAACTTGGCCATATGTCTGCTGCGTTAACATGAAAACTAACTGCGTTATTTATGTTTTCAGTCTCCTACTGCAATACTTCTACAATAGAAGAGAAAAACTTTTAGGAGTCTAGACATTCCGATATGAAGTTACAGCGAAACTGCTTAAGTTATAGTTTAAGAAAATAAAGGTAGTTGCGGAGAGTTTGTTAGATAAGTTATTCTGTTTGCCGCTGGCACACTGTAGATAGCTTGCAGCTAGATAACTATATAGATCATCTGTTCTCTCATAGAAAACGGAGATTGATAATGTATATGCTCTGATCTTTGGAAATAAAATGAAAACAAATTAGTTAAGTGGGCAAGGGATTTCAATGCTAAAGCTTGCCTTTATTTTTCCTTTTTTTAAACCCACTTACATTCTGTATTCATATAAGATTTTATTATATCTTATCTAGCAATTTGAATATTTTTTTACAGATGAACTAATTTGAAATAAATTTATTTTAAATCACATTTTTAATAGCCAATGTTGTTTGAAGCGTATGGATTGCGCTCGCCTGCAATGAAGAATTTATTAGAAAATTGTAACATTTTACAGTGTTGGTGTCTTATTAAATGTAGCCGGTACTTTATTTGATAGGTTTTGATTCGAAAATCATGAGAAGACTCACAAACAAAAGTTTTCTATGAAAGACTTCGGTCACGTAGTATTGATTTAAAATATTATTTCCTTACATTTGTTGTGCCACACTGCCATTGGACAGATCCAGACAATAGTTAAACTTTTATCTTGAATTATCATGCAATTCCATCTAATGACTTCTCATATGTTTTCTTAGTAAAGTGCAACATAATGTTAACTTAAGCAATGTTTCTTTCCTACAGACTTGTGTTCAACTACACATATATTTTCGTATGAGAGTTCAGAACAAACGTATTTTTCTGCGAATAAGTTTGTTGTTCAGTTTAGTGTAAAAAAAAAAAAAAAAAAAACTCCGCATATATTAAAATAATAATGTGCTAAAATGATCAACTTTTCTACGTTTTTCAAAAAGGGGAAATTTTCTTTATTTAACTTCTAGTTTCCTTCAAAAGTTCATAAATCATGAGTTCTGTAGAGAGCGCAAACTTTTATTTTTTAATTACTTCCTTCGTGAATGTACATAAGGAGTAATACTAATGATTTCTTACATTTTGTTGATTTATTATTGATTATGCAAAGCATTTTGGCATAGAGGTCGTATATCACAATAGAAATTTGTACAAAGAACTAAGAATGTTCATTCGCTATATTTACCGACCGAAGCTAGCGGTATATTAATTTCTCATTACGTTTACGTCAAGCGATGAAATGTACAGTCGAAATCCTCTGAATTATGCCTACGATGTGGCCAGTGCGCAAATTATCGTTCAATATAGGCTTGTCCGTCCATCCATGCCGTTTTTTTTTATCGTCCGCCACTTTCTCGTCGGAACTCTCGTAAACATGGGAAATAAAATAAGAAAGAGGGAAAAACTACCGAAGTGTTTATTGGAATAGTTGTTGACCGGAAGCTTAGCGCCAATCTAGTGCTATCTACGACGGGTTCATGAAGTTCTCGACTATATCCCAATTGTACTGCCCACAATATGCCCAAACGGTAGGTATCAAGAACTTCGCTCTAACGGTTATACATTTTTGTTACTTATTTAATTCTCAAGCAGTTGAGGAAACTCATTTGTCATTGTTATAGTTATGTTGGCTGTGCATGGAAAGCACTAAGAAGGAAGGGAGACGCTCTAAAACTGAGAATTTGCTAAACGTATTTAATATACGAAACGCGTAGAATATTTTTTTTAAAGATGTATACGTGCTATATACACTTCGCCAAGAGACTTTTCAGCATCATTTATCACCAATAGAGTTTAAATGCACTCGCACTGAATTATAAAACATTCCAGGATAATGCAAAGAGCATGGAACAAGGTTTCGTGCTTTAAATCGAAATAGGGGGGAAAAATCATGTTTTTAAATGTACCTTAGACTGATGGCAAGTAAGCAATACAAATACGTCAAGTCTATAGGTTTAAATCAACGGTATAAAGCTCGTATATATCAATAATCAAGTTTTGATATATTTATTCGTCGGCAGTTGTATTTTTCGCATGTATTTACAATTTACAATAAACATTACAAACACACATAATATATTAGAAAACCAATGAACTATCAAAAGCGAATGTTTGCTATTCATTTATCTAATCAACACCTCAAACAGCCATAAACTGCTTATTTAAGCAAAATTTCTGGTTACCGGGCATTGTGGTTTCTGATTGATTCCATTGAATTGTGTGCATAATGGCCATAGAATATTTTAACTTTTGTACGCACATGAAATCTCTCTTAAATATTTTCTTGTGTTACGAAATGAACAGAAACAAAACAAATATACCGTAAGCAGTATTTTATTGTCCCATAAAATTTTAAATCCGAAACTAATAAAAAAAATGTTCTTCTCTCTTTTTCGATTTTAATTATAATTTAGTGGACGATTTTGAGCTCAATATTATCTATCTATATTTTAGTTAACAGGAGCCAAAAATTATTGATTGAATAATTTATTCGTCTTCATTTTGCTTTTCAGCACGTATAATATCCTGCTGGAAGCATCGCTTGGAGGTTTACCTTTCCACAGTAAGTTTGATGAATGAGCGGCTTACAAACTCTTTTTATGGAAACGATGAATCCGACATGGGTTTTCATTTTTAGATTTCAAAGGAACTTCTGCTCTCGCCATCAAAGATGTAATATGTGCTGCATAGTGATTCTGGTCAAATGGGCGAATTGAAATGCTTACCGACTCAGAGTTTGGCACTGATCAAGAAACTTGCTTCTGTGGTTTTGCGAGAGGTGGGGCTATTTATCGGTCTCGTATTCAAACTTCTACGTAACAATTTAGAAGTGTAAGGTTTAAGGGAAGAAGGATCTAATGAAAACATTGAGGTGAGGTGGGCTTAGAAATATTCGTCTATGTGTCTCATTACTTTGTGCGAAGTATCTCATAAATGTTCATGGCCTATTCCCACGTATTCAGGGATTCGTAACTTCGCTTGAAACCTCGATGTAAGCGTAAACTCATCCGAAAGAAAAAAGAGGGATAACGTAACACACACAAATGTTTTTATCAGAAAAAAATCAAATCAAAACCTGTCGTGAATATCAGGATACTTCAGCTTGTTCCAAGTGTAACACTCGAAGTTTCTCTTTATATATCTTTTTTTTAAGTTTTTTTTCGTCAAATTGTTGCAACATTCCGCAAGTTTGTAATGGTTGCAACAATTTCTTTATCACGAACTAATGTTTTCAAATTACGACAAACAAATGCGTGATTGAGAAAATTACGTTGCTACACAATCTTCTATGGACAATCTGAAAAAAAAGGAGCAATATTATTCCTCACAGAGAGAACACTTTGTTCCCAAATAGTGTATATATACACTGCATGTATAAAAGAATAAAGACAGGTCGTCAATATCGAAGAGAAGACTAAGTTTTCTGATGTGGTCCGTTTGCCGCACAGCGAGGCCAGTCCCATTTTTTACTAAAGGTCTGGATGACCATCTGACTTGATTGCTAGCTGCATAGTTCACTGGCTTGAATAAATAGTATGTTGCCTGAACTCCTGACTGCACGATAAATGGTTGTTTCGATGATGTGCAGTTCTTTGACTGGAATTTTCTATTCTACGATTCTACATTCTATGTTACCTGCGTTAGCAGATTGTTGCCAAGGTCAAATTCTGTGAATTCTTCGATGAAATTCTTTTTTCGCCGAAAATTACCGCCACAAACATTGTCGCGAATCCTTGTACTAAAATGAGTGAACATTTTGAGTTTGAAATTTTATTTATATTGGAGTAATAAATACTATATTTAATTTTCCTTTGTGGTTTCATTTTGTTTATTCTCTTTTGCTTTACTCAACCCAGTTAATGTTATCAATATCAATTTATCGTTAACATTATAGCACATATTCGTTACTTCAATTGGATATCTGAAATTAATCAGTGATCTGTGTTCCTTTATAAACTTACATTGAAAATTTTGTTACGAAACCAATGATTTATCATCTAAAAGGGTGCAAAAGACATTCTAAAGCTTTTATCTTATTCCAGTATTACCTATAAAATATCAAATCGATTGTAAAAAAAGAAAACACCTGCGTTTTCCTTTCTTCTCAAGTTTTAATTTATTGCTTTTAAGTTTCAATATAATATGTGGACATATACGCGAATCTACTAACCGTTTAGTCCTTTTTTCTAAATAGAGATGTATGTAGATATATTGTCTCTATATCCATTTTATGTTTAGAACCCTGTATAAACAGTTTTTAATGGCAAATGGTCGTAGTAGTACCGTTTAATGTATTGATGGAAACATTCGTAATTACATTTTGCCTTAGTTACATACATGAATATTATGCAAAGTAGATTTGGTTATTTCACTTCAACTGTGTACGAACATACA